GGCCCAAAGGCATGGACACTGAAAAAAAAAATCTCTGGTTAATTGGCAATCATAAGGTGTCTGACCTTTTAACCCTGCCTGCTTAGCAAGTTTTCTTTAAGGGATATGTCATTGTATTACTAATGTATAAATAAGGGGAAAAAGTTTGAGGTAATTGGACTTCTCAGGAGGGGCTCTTCAGGGACGCTCCCTCTGGACGCATCTTCGGGTCCCCACCGGCAGATGGAAGCCTGGCCAGCTGAAGCCTGTCACGGTACCACTCGAAAGCCACACTCAGCTTCGGTATTATCGAGGGTTGGGGGTGTTTCACTAACCTGTTGCAGAGGTGTGTAAGTGCTTGAGACTAAGTAAAGTTTAGCTTTAAGTAAAAGCACTCTTGTGTTGTCCTGTTTGTGCCAGCCATCTATCGGTCGGACGGCCGTGTCTCCCTTGATTTATTTCCTAATACCACCTCGCACAGAGTAAAAGTTACCGAGAGCTTTGGGTTAAAACAACCCCGGGTAACAATGTGCATATGGCTTCCTTCTGCTACAAGAACTAAAGCAGCTGCTGTTTAAGCTGTTTTGGCAGAGGACTGTGCTTTTGGAGTTGAAAGTCCCAACTTATATTTCTGAAGCATCATATAGGCAGTTAGCTGAGGAGTTGGGGTGGGGGTGGGCTTGTTCAGTCTGGTTCTCAGTGGACCTTTGTATAGTTTACAAAACCTGACACAGTCAGCTGATTCTGCTTTAAAGGGGCTCAGAGTATGAACTCAGAGTATGAACTCAGAGAGCTGTGTTGGGATGTCAGGGTTTAAGGCCAGAAGGGACCACCAGATCATCTAGTTTGACCTCCTGTATATCACAGGCCACCAACACCACCCACCAGCACACTAAACCCAACAACCAAAAATAGACCGCAGTATTACAGTCCACAGGAAACTCAATTATTATGTTCTGTAGGCAGAGAATAGGAGAAGCAGAGGTGCACCAGTGCCCAAGGCCCCCTCACAGTGGCAGAGAAATGATTGAGACATATCTAGATAGTCCCTGCAAGTGACCTGCATTCTATGCTGCAGAGGACGGCAACCCCTCTCCCTCCCCCAAGGTCACGGCCAATCTGACCTGATCAGTAAGGGAAAATGCCTTACTGATCCCACATATGGCGATCAGTTAGACCCTGAGCATGTGAGCAAGAACCAGAATACACTGGGGGGAAAAACATCCATTCTTGGCCTTCACAGGGGGCCAGCTGAAACCCTGAGACATAAACTTTTAGGAACATAAAACAAACTGGAAGTGAGCCCCAGGGCTGTTAACCTCTGTCCCATACCATCACAAGCAACCCTATCATTGCACTCATAAATTGCACATTTAAATTTGTCTCGCTTTCTCTTAATTAAGTTATTTGCTCCCCACAAATCCTATTGGGAGTCTGTTCCAAAATCTCACCCCGGTGAGAAACCTTCTTCTAAATTTCCAGCCCAAGTTAGTTCATGGGCAGTTTATTTCCATATGTTCTTGATGCTTATAAAGTGCCTGTCTCTAGTAATTGTTATTAGTCCCTCTTTCTACACAAAATGCTAAAGTTAAAATTGCAAGATATAGGCGGTAGGTGAAATGGTGTGAAATATGCTCACTGCACATCCTGACATTGTTTGTCTAACAAACATACACACAAAGTAGAGACCCAGAATACAAAGCTCATGTACGGGTAAGGTGTGAAAGTCACATTGTGCTGGGTAAGTTGCCAATTTATGTCTGTTAGGACAAAAAAAATTTTAAATTAATTGAGGACCCATAAAGTGGGATGCTTCAGCAAGTGAACTATTTATCGATAGCTTTTCCTGAGGAAGGTTAATAAAACCTCATCCAGAGAGACCAATTAGTCATTCTCAGTAAAAAGGGATACCAATTCTATGGATGTATTAAGTTATTATTAAATAGTTCACAGTTCTCCATTGAGGAGTGTCACTATTTTTTTAAATTCAGGTCTCGAGCGAAAAATGGGTCATGGGCACAAAGAATTCTGGGAGCTTTTTACAAGGTTACTGCACGTTTTCTCTCTTCTCTCTTCTTAAGTATTAGACATTTTACTCAACAGCTGCGTAAAAGGGCCTTTTACATAGCACCTCTGACCCAAGGACCCTCCATATCAGTAGCCAATTTCAAATATAAAATCAATAAATTCACATGCCTGGAATGCTTATACAGTACAGTAGAACCTAGAATTAAGAACATTTTGGGAACGGAGGCTGTTCGTAACTCCGAAATGTAGTAATTCTGAACAAAACATTATGCTTGTTCATTCAAAAGATTACCACTGAACATTGACTTAATACAGCTTTGAAACTTTACTATGCAGAAGAAAAATGCTGCTTTTAACCATATTAATTTAAATGAAACAAGCACAGAACATTTCTTTACCTTGTCAAATCTTTTTTTAAGATTTCCCTTTTTTTCAGTAGTTTACAATTAACACAGTAATGTTCTGTATTTGCTCTTTTTTGCGGGTGGAGGGAGGAGTGTCTCTGCTGCTGACTGATTGTGTACTTCTGGTTCCAAATGAGGTGTGTGGTTGACCAGTCAGTTTGTAACTCTGAGGTTCTACTGTACTCTGTAATTGAAAATATTATAATAGGAAGTAGCCTGGAATCCTAGACTTGATGCAAAAATTTGTTTATTGACAAAAGTAAAAAAAAAAGGAAAGATGTCACTGAAATTTGGTGACCAAACAGGAATATCAATGCTTTTTAGGTGATGAAATGCATTAGTATCCTTTAAACTGGGACAACATGGTAGATGACCTTTATCCCCATTAGCAGAAATTCCAGCTGATGGCCCTGATCCAGCAAGGTACTTGAAGATGTGAATAGTCACATTGGCTTCAGTTGGATTTGTCTTGTACTTAAAGATAAGCACATGCTTAAGTGATTTGCTAGGATTGTGGCCTGCTAGAAGACCCCATTTCAACAATAGTGCTGTTCCCCAGGAAGATGCAAAGCTGAGGTTAGAATAGCATGTTACTGACAAGGTCCATGGAGCTGGAAAGTGGCAATGAACCTACTGCTTACCCAGTGCCAGGGCTGCAACCCATACCACACAATCATCCCATGAGGTTCTGACAGGCCACAATAAACTTGCCTCCATCGGGAGACTCTTCTACAGTACATTAAAGAATCTCAACTGTCCTTAATGTGCTCCCCCATCCCCATGTCTCAGTGCCTAAAGACACACAGTGACATGTTCCTTCCTATAACCTTAACAGTCTTGTGGACGGTTATCATAGTAAGATGTGTGGTTAATAAGGGCTTATTTTAGATGCTGTCTATGGGCTCACAGGCTCTATAGATTAAGCCAGAGTAAAAGAAAGAGCTCCACACTGCGTTTGCAGAAATTTACTTTTGGGAAGGTGAGACCCTGGTAAGTAGGGGTAACAAAGAGCCTGACCAAATGAAATCTGGGTGAATCACACTCATGTGCACAGCAGCAACATTTGTTCTGTAAGCATTTGTCTACGACTTTGGTGCATTCATTAACAGTTTATTTTTGCAAACAACATTTTTGTTTCCTGAACTCTTTGACCAAAGACCCGTGAGGCCATCACAAAGACAGACATTCTGAGAGGCAACGGACGCAATGGCTCAAATTCCTGCGCCATTCACTTACAACATCAGTGCAGGAGATCACTTGCATCCCTAAGGATTAGGGTGGACAGTGTCAATCAAGTTCCTGCCAGCAGTCAAAATGTCATATTCTTGATGCCACATGGATACCAAACACCAGCAGAATGATCCAGCTGCTCCTGGGGCCATTGGTTGCTCCTTCTCCTCAGCCTCTCATCTTATCTGATAACTACATCCCAACTTCTGGCATACCCTGAGCTACTGATGCTCCTGCAGATCTGGTCCCAGCCACCATTGTCTCTGCTTGGATGCCCCAAGCAGTTGATGCGAGAATGCAGCTACATCAAAAAATCAATGGCAGGCTGATCTGTAACAACACTGTCCCTTTGAGGACAACAAAATGTGCCCCTGCTGGGCTGACTAAATCTGCCACAGGTGAAGAGGATGTACAGGCACTGAGCTTTCTTTGCCATGTCCTGCTTCTTTGGAAGTCAGACTAGATGACCACAACGGTCCCTTCTAGCCTTATAATCTATAGATCTATGAACCATCCATATGAACATTATCAAAAACAAACATGAATGGAAACTATTAGATCTGAGCAGACTGCTGTTATTGATTACTGTATCTCCCAGGATTCCTGTTGCTATACCTACAACTGAACAAAATTGGTTCATGCATACATGTCTCTGATAATAAAGCATGATATAGACTAACCAAACCAACCTTTGATATTTTCATGTAAGTGTTCTAGATGAATGATCTGAACCTGGGTTTGAATATAGAGAGATATTAATTCTGTATTTACTAATTATTATAGGGTAGCACAATGAATTTTAATGAAGCATAGGGAATAATTGCCTCCAGTATGGCATTTTTCAAATCAGGATTTGGTAAAGTACTTCTGTGGACAGTATATGGCCGTAAATGAGACCTAGTCAATGCATGCGCTATATAATTAAAAGTTAGGAACAGTAGTCGTTGTTGCTGCTGACAGGATAAAACCATTTGTTATTAAATCAATAAGGCGGTCTAAGAGTTTTTGTTTTTTTCCACTCTCAGGGGGACATTAGGGTGTGTTTTAAGGTTGTTTGTATGATCTTAATTGTGAATTTTCTCAATCTCAAGTGTTTGTGGGTTTTTTTATTTAAAATTTCTTGGCTTTTGATTTCTTTTAAATCAAACTACTAAATGTTGTAATTTTTTTTTAAATCTCAACTCAATTTTCTAATTATTAATTCCAGTGTCATCACAGGGCCTTTAATACTCAAGCCCCTGAGATGTGGTTACAGCCCTAATGCCAGCTTAATGCCGGTTTTATTTGTTTTGCCTGGGGGATATGCTCATCTAGCTCTCTTGAAGTCTGCTGAACAAACCTCACTTTTTGTGATTTCAGCTTGGCCGACCTGGTGGTGTGATGTTCCAATGGAGCTTGGTGATATTTGTCTCACATTATTACCATGTTACAAAGAGACCATGTCCCAGAGACTATTACCAGAACCTATGTAGAAGGTACTAGTAGGGAGAGGCTGCAGTCTCCAACCCTGTTGCAGTGATGAGTTTCCAGAGTGCTCTCTTTTTCTTCATTGGATTGGTATCCTCCATCCATCTATGTTCTGGCAGTGGGTTCCCAGAACACAGGTTCTTTAGCGTTGATGTCTTTAAAGTAATTCTTGCACGTCATGACACAGTTCAGGTTTGAATTCATATCTCTAGAATCCAAGTATATTTAGGTTTGTTCTCCCCTTTCTTGACTAGTGTTCTTGGGGGCGTCTGTGATGTGTCATTAAAGATGAATTATTTAATTAATAATTTAATTTAATAATTGAATGTGGCCAAGAGTAATGGTTTCAACAGATGTTTTGCAAAAAGTCTATTACCTAATCACCTAACACTGAAAAAATAGATTAACATGGTGTCTACTCTCTCAGGCCCACAGATATTTTTATGGAATATGGCATTATAATAAAATTCCCTAGACTTCAGCTTAATCTGAAAAACTCATTAAAGAGAGATTCAATACACTCTAGAGTTTTATATAGACACTTTAAAGTTAAATGTGTACCATATTTCTGTGGCTTTTTTCCTGATCACTTACTTTGTAAGACATTTTATTTTAGGAGGTTTTTATTGGATGAAATAAAAAAAAATGGCCCAGAATTAATTTGGGCTGCGAAGGCCATGGACTTCTGTGTCTTTGGTATATGAGGGGGTGGGAGAAAAGGGTCAGGAGACATAAAGACATCTGAATGAGAGCTTCCTATGAAAAGAAATTAGAGCTGGATTTTCAAAAGTGCTTGTTGTCCTAACGCTGCTCCCATTGACTTTTGAAAAGCCCACCCTTAATTTACAGTTGCTGTAACCCCATTTAATGATAATGTCTTTCACCCACCCCACATCCTCCGACTCCAGAGAGCTCCCTTCTTCCAACCATCAAAGTTACTTCCCCAGGGTGACCCTTCTTCTGGCTAACAGCTGAGTACAGGTCCCTCTGCAGTCTGTTGGGCTAGTGGGGTGATTCACTTGAAAGTAATGCAAGGAAGTTTCTCCTCAAAAGAGGTTACATGTGCCACCTCCACTGTGCTGATAGCCTGCCAAATTAAGGGACTGAGTGCAGAGCCTGAATTCTGATCCCTTTACTAAGTGTGTTGTACTGAAAACTTAATGCACAACTCTACATGTATTTCACCATATATGACAATACAACTATGACCAAAATTGTCCAGTGATTGGTGGAGCAGGAGTTGATTCAAGCTGAACCAGAGCAAGACAGAGGTTATTCTGGTGTCCAGAGAAAAGTACACTGAAAAAATTGCAGCCAATGTGCAGTCTTCCTTTGGTTAAAGACACACACTACAACTGGTCAATACAGGCTTTTAGGAGTACTCCATGCTCAACTCTCACAAAGCAGCATCTGTAAGTAACACTTCCCAAAGGCTCCATCTCATCCTGACAAGCATTTGTCACCTCTTGCCTGAACTATAGCAATGGGTTATACTTGGGCATGAAGCCATCAGCCCTTAGGAAACTCCAGCCCTTGTACAAAAACACCACAGCACATTTCCTCAGGGATAATTCAAGCATATCAGATTTGTCCTTTGCTCTCTACCCTGGCTTCCTGTAGAATACTGAGCCAAGCTCAGCAACTCTGGCTTTATCTTCAAGGCTCGCCCTGCCTATGCCCAGGATATCTAAAAGATCACCTAAAGCTCCAGAATGAAGGCTGTGGTCAACAACTTCACTCCTCTGGTGCAATGAAACTTTCTACAATGGGGATAAAGCTCTTCTGCATGGGAGGCAGAGCTTTCTCAGAGGCCAGACCCAGACTGTGTAATGAACTGCCTCTGGAACTAAGGACCATCACAAGCCTCACTGCCTTCCACTGCAAGTGCAAAGCACATTTCTTTGACCTTGCCTGTTGTAATATTAACACACGGTGATATGTACCCAAAAAACACCTCTTTCCTCCCCCACCCGCCCCAAAAAGTCAGCAGAACACTCCACTGCTATTATCCCCCTGGGTAGAAGAGGAGAGAAAAAAAACATACACACGACAGACATTAATCATGTCTCTAAATGCACTATGGGGAAGGCACTCAGATACTCTGCTGCTGAGGGCAATATAAGAACCTGTGCTGAACAGAATTATTTTAAGCAGATATTAGAGGCAATAGAGTGGTAATGCTTAAAGACTTGCCAAACCTCTTATTCTAGTATTTTTGGAGGTAACTGAGAGTTGAATTTGGCCCCTCTGTGTCTTAATAGTTGGGAACACTATTGTTTTTGGTTTACAGTGTTTGTGCTTAAAAACTTACCAACTGCCTTAGCTAACTGAATAATGCTTCCTCGGTATTTGAATTATTCTTCATTTATTTCCTGTAGTAATGGGAATTCTAAGGTAAGGAAGTTTTTTTAGTTTTTACCATAGGTCAACACTGTGTTTGATTTTTATTGGGATTGCACCCATGCAGAATTTGGCCCAAAGAGAATTAAATTGTCTAAGGAGGCCACATCGTTATTTTAACTCTATATGTAGTCTTAACAACAACTTCATAATCTGCAGCGTACTCTTAGGGAACATTTAAAAATAGCAAATAACATTGCACTGTACTAAGTAGCTGCAAAACAATTTCTGAGTTGCTCTCACTTCAGTCCATCCTCCAACTGTGTTTAAAAATCAAATATTTGGTTAGCATGTTGTGTCATCTAGGATAGCGAACGGCATTCTTGTTTCATGACCTTTAAAACATTTGACTAACTGTGAAAAGATTCTAGAAGAAAGAATCTTGGTACCCTAGAGATGTTGTTCCTCACTATCTGAAAAGTAAAGCAGCCAGGCTGAGGCTCCTCCTTCTGAACCAAGTAATGGAAAAATGATGTAAGAATTCCAGTGTCTGAATAAATATGTGCCCTCTGACCTTAATCCCCATGGAACCGAAAACATCCAAAGTCAGACAAAAATAGTAAAACCTTTACATTGCTGAGGGATAATGGTACTGCTAGCAGATAATTAGCTAAATCCCATTAATATCAGGGGATTGGGCAGTGATTAGGAAATTAAACTTTGAAAAAAAATTAACTGTATGTGTGCCACAGAAAGTGCATGTTGGGTATAGTATTTTCGGCAGCTTAGATATATTAAGCAGTGTACGACATGTTTATGATATGGAATTATTAAATTTTATTTTGTAGGGGAATCTAATCCATCTTTTATACTGCCCGACACACTTCGAAGAGGACCCATCAGAATGACTCATGGCTTGTTGTAGCTGCCACTCTAGCCTGGAAATCTTCCCCCAGTCAGAATTCAGATCTTGTCCACTGATGATGACCTTTTGCTTGAGATGTCCGGGATATGAAATCTCACTTGGCAGGATGATAAATTGAAAAAAAGAAAAAGAAAAAGAATACATCAAAATATCTTGACAGCAAACATCAATGAGTCTCTCAGCTTCAGTCTAATAGCTCTCATAATTCAATTACCCTGGTTTATACAGTGTGCGTTCAGAGAACCACCAAAATGCCAGATGTTTATCCAAAGTACATGCATCGAGGCTGACAGATTCCTTCAAAACATTCTTCACAAATTTTGTTTCCATTCTCAACAGCTGTTTTATTCACTGACATTCATATTCCTTGTTATCCATACAGATTTTTGCTTGGTGAAAGTCTTATTCATACAATACCTGTAGCCACATGTGACCAAAGGATTTTGTGCATGAACATGAGTAGCCACTATTGATTATTCCCTAATCATTATTCACTATTTAAAACTTTTTAAACAGGAGAACAACAGTCTTCCATCAAGGAGCTGAAACAATACTATGTGACTAAAGTGGCCAAATCATACACCATGAATCACAAACCATGAATAGTCCAATAAAGTAGTCCAGAAACTATCCATAATTTTGATATAGATCTGAGGCATTTATAGGGCACCTATCACGTTAGTATCTTAGTTTAACTTTTATTCACAAAAAGTGCTCAAATAAGTACCAAAATTGAACAGATTACTGCACTTTAAGCATTATGGCTCTGATTCTGGGTTCTGTACCTCCCATATACACTCACTCTTCCATTGCATGAGGGGTGTAAAACCAGGACAAAGTCACCTGGGGAACAACTTCTACCCAGAGGAATTTCCCCACCAGTGTAGGGCAGAGAGTGTGTCCCTGGGCCACCTCCCACATCACTCTGTATTGAGTCAACATGCTAGATTTATTTTAGTAGTTTGCTATGTTCCATCTTCATATCAGAACGTTGCATAGTGATTAATGTGCAGGACAGCATGAAGACTATGGGCTTCTATCCCCACCACTTATTCTGATCTTAGACAAAGTGTTTACTTTCTCTCTGCCTCCATTTCTTCAGCGGCAAAACAGGTATAGATAATTGTCTACTTCTCAAGGGTGTGACGAGTCAATATTTGTTTATAATTTTGAGATCCCTGGAAGAAAACTGATACATAGAGCTCTTTATGGTAAATTTACTTTTCTCTCTTTTCAATACATTGTAAGTTGTGGTTCTTCTTTATTTTTTGTAATATACATCTCCCATTGGGATCAGGACCGCTCAGTGATCCTACAGAATCCTTCTGACTCTAAAGATTCAGATTTGAATCATGTATTGCCATCTGAATGTTCCAGGGCAGGGAATTAAATTTGTAGCATGGCTATAACTTTAGGGCATTTGGATTGCATTTCAGTTAAGTTCATTGCTGAAATTTCCAATAGCCTAATAAAACACTTTACAAATGAAATTAGAAGGATTAAAAAGCACCAACATTCAGTTCATGTTATAAACCAAAGGGGTACTTATTTTCTGTGAAATCCTATTTAGTTTCAATTTGAGTCCCTAATTAGAATTCTGACAGAATCACCTTGCTCTGTAGATTGCAGGAATAAAAACCAAAGATGTTTCAGCTTTGAAATGAACAGCAATAGCTTGCAGTTCATACTAATATTACCTTGTGCTTTATATAGCACTTTTCAGCCAGAAAAATTACAGTACGCTCTATAGACTGTACATAAAAGGATGACTTCACCCATCACTGAAATGCAGCAGCTTGAGGTGAAACTTTGTATCATTCTGTACAGCAGCCAACAGTTTTTGGGAGAGACAAAAAGAACAACTACAAGTGGAAAGTTCGGAGACCAGAATGTAACCAATGAGGGTGGAATAATGCTTGTAGGACATGATTACTGAAGGAGACACAATAGCCTTTTTATCTTTCTTGTCCTATAATATATTTAAAGTCCCAACTTTATTGGGGGAGGCACAGAGATTAACCTAAAATGTTCTTTTCCCACTTTTGTAGTCTCAGAATTCTGTAACTTTCCCACTGGTTGAGACACTTTCAACTGGCTCCAGAGCTTACTAATGCTGCTCCCTATGCCATTTGTGGTTATTGTCAAACATCCTGAGCCCTTCCTTTTCTTCTCAGGAGCTGAGCACACTTCTTCTGCAGTGTTCCAGCTCTCATTGGCTAGGAAGTAATAAATCATACTGATTCTCAAACACTGATCCTCCAGGATGTTTTGGTATCCTAATCCTTAGACTCTTAGTGCAGCACCAAAAAGAAGGCACCGTGATCCACAGAGATGAGCTTTTGTGTTTGCTCTTTAACTAAAACCAGATTAATTTGTATTAATCTCAATATATTAGCTGAAAATGTTTCTGAATGGCTGAATTCTTTTTGCCATGTACCATTAACTTTTATACAGTATTCTCTTATCAGAAAAATGTAGTAATTATTTTTCCTTGTCAAATACACATGCAGCGCACTGTGCTCCAGTTATCCCCAGCCAGAAAAACAGTGCCTGGGGGCCATTACACGCTCATTACATTATATTGGAAATTAGAGTAGCCCTGACAAGCCTCAGAAAGCATCTCAATTATTTTAATGAAGATTTAAACATGAAGTCAGGTCTTTTGCTAATGCTAGCAAGAGTAGGAGGAACCATTGTATTCAATATCCTATGAAAGATTCCTACCTAGGATACTCCTACAAGCTTATTTCAGTCTTGTAGCATACATGTTTTCAGGTTCACTGAGAGAGGTAAAAGAGCTGAAGTATTATACCATTTTTTGCAGGACAGCAAGAAACCAGGGACTGAGTCTTCCACACTTCATAAAAGTGTCACGGAACCCAATTCAAACATGTAATAGAAAGAATATAAGATATCACACACAGATGAGATATGCATGAGAAAATAAACATACCTTCCAATTTCTGTGTACATCACCAAAATCAATACTCATAGAAGACACCATAAAGATCACAACACAATTCCAGACAAACACATGGGTCTAAACAATGAGGAGTCCTTGTGGCACCTTAGAGACTAACAAATTTATTTGGGCATAAGCTTTCGTGGGCTAGAACCCGCTTCATCAGATGCATGAAGTGAAAAATACATGAAAAGATGGGGATTGCTTTACCAAGTGTGAGGTCAGTCTAACGAGATAAGTCAATTAACAGCAGGTTACCAAGGGAGGAAAAATAACTTTTGAAGTGGTAAGAGAGTGGCCCATTACAGACAGTTGACAAGAAGGTGTATAGTTGCTGGTGAGTATTTGCTTCAGGTTGGGGGGCTGTCTGTAGGCGAGGACTGGCCTCACCAGCAACTACACACCACACAACAAAAACACCAACCCAGGAACCAGTGCTGTAACAAGGGCGAGGCACGTGAGGCACTTGCCTCGGGCACACAAAGTCGGGAGGGCGCAGAAAGTGGTGGAGAGAGAAAAAAAAAGCTGCTGGCACAGAGATATTTATAACCCAGGTGATCTTCCCCCTGGCCCCACCTGCGGCCCCCCCGCGCTTCCCCCGAGTGTCCCCCGACCCTGACTTGCTTCCCCCACCCTCTTCCGGCCCGGAGCAGAGCAGCTCCATGCTGCCTCCCTGCAACAACTGCTGCCGCAGGGTCCTAGTGCCCCCCCTTCTCCACTGCCAGGACAGACTGACTCTGAACCTGCCCTTCCCCCTCAGACCCTTCCCTTTTCTGGCAGGACCCTCCAGCAGCACAGGAGGCCCCCCCGCCCGCAGTCACTGCTCCTGCCCCATGCAGGGCAAGGAGGCAGCCCCATCCCTCATCCCCAGTGAGGCTACAGTCAGGGGCAACAGCAGGGGAGGAGGTGCACGCAGCGCCCCTCGGCACCCGCCACAGGGGAGGTGAGGGAGATTCCTGGACCTGAGAGGGGCCCTAGGAGCACATGGGGGTGAGTGTGCTGCTGGGGGGGGGGCAGGAAAGGGGGTCTCCTCCCCCAGAGCTTGCTGCTGCCGGCAGGGAAAGGGCTGGGGGGAGTCCTCCTCTCTGGCCCCTGTCCCGGAGCAGCCTGCCTGCACCCCAAACTCATCCTCAGAGCCCACACCCCCAGTCAGAGCTTTCACCCCGCCACTGCACCCTCAACCCGAGCCCCTCCAGCACCCCAAACACCTTATCCCCAGTCCCAGCCAGAGCCCTCACCCCCCCACACTCCTACTCTCGCCCTGAGCCCCTCCCACACTCCAAACCCCTCATCTGCAGCCACAACCCACTGCCCTTACCCCTGCACCCCATCCCTCTGCACCCCTCCCATCCCCAAACTCCCTCCCAGAGCAATCACCCCAATCTCCTGCCCCAGCCTAGGGCCTGCACCCCAGACCTCCTCCCTCACCCAAACTCCCTCCCAGAGCCTTGGGTGGGTGGGTGGGGGGCAGAGTTTGGGTGGGGGTGGGTTCTGGGCACCACCAAAATTTCTACAAACCTGCCACCCCTGATCCTGCCCTGCAGACCTGAACTCCCAGCATTCTCAGGACACATGCTGATCCCTAGTGGCCACTGCTGATATCCAGCATCTCCCTCCTCTCTTAACCTGTGAGTCCCAGGAGCAGGATTAAAGATGCACTTCAGTAAATTTGGAATGAGGAAGGAATTTTAAACTGTTTTACCATTTGCTTTCCCAACCAAATATTATGTCTCTACATAAAGGTCATATGTTTGACTGTTATCATGACAAGTTAGTTAATGACCTTACCTATTTTCCAAGAAAAGCGCAGAGCACTCTTGAGAATCTAACTAATAGCTTTGGCAACTCTATCTCAGTCCTGCGGTCCATTGCTTAGAGAGAACAGTATTTCTCTGTGTCGTTTAGTTGGGACAGTTGGAGCAGTTCAAAGAAATGTCCCTTACCTTATCCTAGCAGAATAGTGAGTACATTTTGTTCACTTTTTTGCTTTCTCTTTTTCATTTCTTGGAATTCACTGTCCTTGATGTGTCCGAAGGAAACAACACATTGTCAGAAAGGCTGATTTTAATGAAATGTCAGTGGGAATATTATATCAGGAAAAGAGACAAGCCCTTTCTGCATTCACAAATCTTCAAAGGGGAATTTACTTACAGTTGTTGCAGGGCCTCTGCAGGCAGACTCTCTCTCCTCGGAGAGAGTAACCATTTTGACAGGACAGGGCATGTCAGAAATGACTCAGTTCTACAGGAAAATATTTATTAGCATATTGTGCGTGTTTCTTTCCTGTAAACTAAGGAGGGACTAGTTTATAGCTAGTGAGAATTATGTTTTCAGTTCTTCTCTGCTTTCTCTTTCAGTATGGTTACCTATCGAACTTTGTTTAATATGGCTGGTATAACATATAATGCGAACTACATATTTATTACTGGTCATGTACCTGGAGACAGATTCCCTAGAGGATGTCACTGAGAAACCAAAGGGTTCAGTGTATTAAACAAACTCAAGTTATAGCTTCTATCTCAAATATCAAAATTAGCTTTTTGTAGCACAGGGAAAATGTATTGCCTTGAGAGACGATAAAAAATGTCTTAAATATCATCACATAGGCTTTTCAGGAGAGAGGAAAGGAAAGTCCAGTTTTTCTTCATAGATAAAACGTAGACATTAGCTACTGCTATTCTATTCAATTCAATTCAGGTGGTTATACTTCCCCCAACACTAGAGTATCTGAGCACATTTTAGTGATGTTTTAAGTAGGTGACCAATATCTGTCATGTGTGTTTCCTTTATCATTCCTCTTCCCAGGGGAAAATGTTATATGGTTAGGGCCTGAAAGCCTTTGTAATGGCTGTGGTAAAATAGGTTTCTTTTATAGTTCTAATTTGCTGTCCTTTGGATAGTAAAGTGTTAACTAAACTTGTTCAGATTGCTTCATTCACTCCTGAGGTTATTCAGTGTTTAAAGGGACACTATCAATTTAAAAAACACAATTCGGTGTGAAAAGCATCCATAGAGTTGTTATAAGTAACAACTAATATTACAGTACAATTCAAGAAATCTGTCTTTTCAATTTTATTTTATTCATTTGCTATCCCTTTATGCACCATTAGTTATAGTTTTCCCCCAACAGAATGACTCGGTCAGTTTCCTCCTGTTTGTTGTTGGTGTGAATCTTTAACACAGCAACAGGGGGAGAGAAAATCATGGAAAAGCATTTTGAACATTAAAATGGGATTGTAAAATCTCTAAAATTGGCAGAGAGACCTAAAGGGATGTGTAGGACCTGAAACCATGTTAATGCTTTATAAAGATTTGATGAGATTTCAAGTTGACAGTGACTCTTTACATAAGACTGCTCTCATGCCTTTATGCATACTGGGCCTGGTTTATCTCCTGCTTACACTAATTTTACACTCGTGTGAATTTTAATGGAATCACTCCTGATTTACATAGGTTTATGTGTGGGGAAAGTCAGGCCCACCAAGTTTGGATCTTACATCTTCAAGATATGCAAACAAGCTCCTGAAGGAAGAGGAACAAATTCACTAAAAAGAAGCTTTGAAGCCACAGCGTTTGGTACGAGAATAGCAATAGTGTACATAGTTATTGATTCCTGATCTCACAGTGAGAACTATGTGGGCATAGCACGGTGCTGGTGTTGACCCCATGGAAATCAAAGGGCTTGTAGGATCCACCTATGCAACACTTATTGCAGACTCAGGTCAAAGTCAGTACAGTTTAATAAGTCAAAAGGAGTAGTATTTTGTATTTCATATCTATATAAGGTGTGACAAAGTTCCTCCTCTATCTTGGTGGGTCCTGCGCTTATTGGCGGATTTTCTTGCCTCAGAGATTCACCATGTGGGTTGGGGAACAGCCCAGAGACCTTCCCCTCTGGAAGAACCTACAGTCTAGGTCAATTGGGAGGTTTGGGGGGAACCCGGGCCCACCCTCTACTCCGGGTTCCAGCCCAGGGCCCTGTGGACTGCAGCTGTCTATAGTGCCTCCTGTAACAGCTGCATGACAGCTACAACTCACTGGGCTACTTCCCCATGACCTCCTCCAAACACCTACCTTATTCTCACCACAGGACCTTCCTCCTGGTGTCTGATAACACTTGTGCTCCTCAGTCCCCCTTCCTCCTTTCTGGCTCACTGATAGAATTTTAGAGAGACTTTACTTATGTTATACAGAGTATCTAGAGATGATTTGTATCATAGTTTTTTGTAATGAGAGATTGAATTGTAATTTACCATGTTACAGAGAGCTAAAATATTAGAGATGTCTATATAGCAACTTCACAGTTAAGGTTGAGGCTAGACTTCTGTCCTAAGCCCAAATGGCTCAGATGACCATGTCCTTTGTGACAGACCCAGACCAGATGTGGACAAATTGGAGAGACTCCAGAGGAGAGCAACAAAAATGGTAAAAGGTTTAGACAACCTGACCTATAAGGAAAGGTTAAAATAACTGGGCATATTTAGTTCTGAGAAAAGAAGAGAAGGGGAGACCTGAAGAAAAGGGCAGGAGAGTTTAAATGTGTTAAGCATGGTTATAAAGAGGACTGATCAATTCTTCTTGTCCTACCTTCAGTGGACATGGAGAAGTAGCAGTCTTCATCTGCAGCAAGGGAGATTTAGGTTAGATATTAGGAAAAATTTTCTAACTATAAAGAGCAGTTAAACTCTGAAATAGGCTTCCAAGGGATGTTGTGGCATTCCCATCACTAATGGCTTTTAAGAACAGGTTGGACAAACACCTGTCAGGAATGGTCTGCTATACTTGTTCCATAAAGGGCTGGACTTGTTGACTTCAAGGTCCCTTCCAGCCTTATATTTCTATGGGAAGTGGTTTTGTTGAATATGTAAATGATGTACTGCATTATCAAGGAATACAATTCAGCTGTGTTTTTCTTTGATAGTTAGCCAAGATATTGATGAATAACTTTGCAAAGAAACTAAAAATATGAAAGTGGAACTATATGGTAAAAATAACATGCTTCAAAATAAAAATATATAACCCTTCCCTTAAATCAGTTCCAGACATTTATTTGAATAAGATATTCACAGCTTCCTTTCTCAAGATGAAGAATGACTTCTGACCCCTCAGAAACTGAGAGTGGAAAACATATTTGCATAGCCTCAGTAAATGAATAATGCAGTCTTTTGTCACTACTTTTTCTAACAGTTTAGCTAGCCTCCAATTATTCCTTCAAGGTTTGGCAATACTGTTGAATAATTGGGCATAACTGGTACAGATTAAATGAATATAGTGTTTGAAAAATGATTTTAACAGTGAATCTCGGCTGTAGATCCTCAAGGATAAAGATGAGAAAATCTAAACACTAGTTGGAATTTATATCCTTGAACCTATCAGAACAATAGACTCATGGGCAAAATACTGGCAAACTGTTGGTCAGAAAAGCAAGCTTCCCCCCCACCTCCAGCCCAAGTTTCTGCAGTCATAGTGCACCTCAGTTATTCTAATTTTTTTGTTTTTGTTTTTCATTAGTTTGTGATATATCACACTGAATTGCCTTAACTCATAAAAAACACCAGTGTGTGAATATCTAATGCAAGTTGTAACAAGAAGGGAGGCACCTCAGAAAAACAAGGTGGAGATGAAATGTTTACATTTCACTCTTGTCTTGAGATACATCTATAGTAACTGATCAAAATATAAGTAGGCCTGAATGACTGTTTGGACAGAATTATATTGCTCAGGAAATTAAACAAAAATGCATGGAGCTAGCTTAATGTTACTAGAATTAAAGCCCTTACCTATGAAAGGGACGAAATGGGACTATTTGAATTTTTATTAACCAAGTGGACTCATTTTTGAGTTCTGTATAAAACCATCCATTGTAAAACCATAAAAGCATACCACTAGTTTTGGCAGTGAAGTTTACCTAACATTACTAATGTGTGTTGGCAAAATCTTGCTTTTTAGATGACTTGATTTAGCCCTTATCTACACACAAAAGTTGCACCGATCTACCTAAAACAATTTAGCTGCCCCTTAATCAAAGTCACAATCTAGCCCTAGATAGATACATCCTTGCTGGTCTGAACCCCATCAGTGATTCACTCCTCTCTGTCAGTGCTGGATTAAAACCAAGGCAATAGACATATCATGACATGGGACCTACCCTATGGCTCCCTATAGTCCTGCCCTGGCAAACCTCCACTTGGAGAAACTATGGCAGGAGCCCCTTCCTTCCCTCCTAAACAGGCAGCAGCATAGGGCTCCCTTCCTCCCAGGAGTAGCAGCTAAGGACCCTTTTCCCTTTGGGAGTAGTGATGACACCATGTCTTCCCCAGAGAGGCAGAGGTAGTAGCAGGGGAACTCCAGCAGCTAAATTGTATTTGCTTGAGTTAGTGGGCTGCACCTGCTATACTCTGGTCTTCCTCCCCCCCATCCCACACCACAATTCTCCTCTAGGAATGATAATGGTGGGGCACCTCTGAATAGTGAGTCTAGAAGACCAGAGATTTTTTAAAAAAGAAATCTGAGATTCTGATGTAATCACATGACTCCAGGAGACAACATGATCCTACTACTCCTGGGGGAATTCTGCATCACTGCACATGCGCAGAATTTATGTCCCCCACAGATTTCTTTGCTTCCCTGCAGAAACATGATTTTCTGACAGTGAAGCAAAGGGAAGCCATAAGAACGGTCACACGGCCCTCCCCAGCAGTATGTTTTGGGTGCCCAGGGCAGCTGGCAGAGAGGTAAATCACTGTAGGGTAGGGGGCGGGAATGGAAAAGACCCCGCTGGTGGCTCCTACCCTGCACCGGGCTCAGCTGCTAGTCCCGGCTGGGCTGGGGAGGATGGGACTTCCTCTTCCTCTGCACAGCATCTGGGACCGGGTCAGACCCACCCCCAGATTTCTACCCCAGCTGTAGGAAGCTCTGCAAACTCCCCTCCACGCCGCTTCTTGTACCCACTGCTCCTCAGCTGCAGCGGGAGGGATCCCTGTACAGGGAGCCTTTCCCCTATCCACTCAACCCCGTGCATCCAGACCCCCTCCTACCCAGATCCTCCCGCTGAGCCTCACTCCCCCCGCACCCAGAATCCCCCCTGATAAGCCCCATTCCTCCTGCCTGTGGACCACCCTGACAAGCCACCCACACCCAGGTCCCCACCCTACTGAGCGCCAGTCAGCTGCAGATGGATCCCTACCCCACTGAGCCCCACCCCCGCACTGGGCCCCCACACCAAGACCCCCCTGCTGAGCTACAACCACCTTCACTTGGACCCCCCCGCAGTGGTGTTACCCGGGGTTCTTTCAACCCAAAGCTCTTGGTAACTTTTACTCTGTGCGAGGAGGTGTCAGGAAATAAATCAGGGGCCATCCGACCGATAGATGGCTGGCACAAACAGGACAACACAAGAGTGCTTTCACTTAAAGCTGAACTTTACTTAGTCTCAAGCACTTACACACGTCCGCAACAAAATTAGTAAAACACGCCCAACCCTTGATAATTACCAAAGCTGAGTGTGGCTCTCGAGTGGCACAGCAGCAGCCCGTCTGCCGTTGGGGAACACAAGATGTATCCAGAGGGAGAGACCAGTCCTGAAGAGTCCCCCCAAAGGAGTCCCACCTATCTCAAGCTTTTCACCCTTATTTATACATTAGTAATACAATGACATGTCCCTTAAAGAAAACTTGTCAAGCAAGCAGTTCCACTGGGCAAGCAAGAGGCTCCTTCTGATTATTGATTAACCAGGTGTGGGTCTTTCCAGAGCCTGCAGCCTTGAGACCCCAATAGACATTCCTGAGGGTACATCCTGCTCTTTTCAAATGCATGTATCAGCAACTTTAACACAATTTTTATCAGGAAGGATGCGGGGTCAAGCTGCCCTTTCCGTGGCACCCAAAACCCCCTCCCCTCCTGCCTTGGTCAAGCTGCATGTCCACTTTACAGCCTGCTGACTAGGTTGCTTTTTAACAATAAGCCATAGTGGTTTTAGGCACTTTACTGGTTTGCCAAAATCTCCCCGTACAGCAGAGTCCCATTACCATGCACCCAGAATCCCGTAACAAGTCCCTGTGCATCCAGATCCCCCCTGCACCCAGATCCCCCACAGAGCCACCTGTACCTAGATTGCCCCACACAGAGCCCCTCCACACTTGGATCCTGCATTGCTGAGCCTGCCTTCCCATTCCTGGGGCACTTGGCACAGATGGGCAAGGCCCTGAGGTGTTTCTGGGGCAGGCCCAGTCCTTGCGCTGTGTCAGGGTTGGGTGCAACCTCACTGCTAAGTCCGTGTCCTAGGCGGGAGCTGCACAGTGATCTCCCACCTCTGTGCAGCCAGTGGCCTATGCTTCCCAATGCCATGCTGGAGTCTCCACATTAATATGACAAATAAAATTTCCAGAATTTTGCAGAGTTTTTAATTTTTTGGTGCAGAATTCCCTCAGGCGTATCCTGTGGAGCCTATTGATTAATCCAGCCCTATCATCTGTAGAGAAATACATTTAGCTTTGCCCATCAGTCTGTCCAGCAGCACACACAAAGAAGTTCAAGTGATACATGTATTATGCAAAAAGAACAGGAGTACTTGTGGCACCTTAGAGACGAACAAATTTATTTGAGCATAAGCTTTCATGGGCTATGCTCAAATAAATTTGTTAGTCTCTAAGGTGCCACAAGTACTTCTGTTCTTTTTGCGAATACAGACTAACACAGCTGCTACTCTGAAACATGCATTATGCAATCATGTACCAAGTCATTAAGGCTGTTTCAAAAGTAATAGAATTGTGTTACTCAACTGCTACAATTCTCATATCTCCTTTAGGCTTTGGTACAAAAAGAGCCAGGAACTGAAAGAAAGAAAAAACAAAACAAAACAACACTCTCGCCACTGGGTCAGAGGCTTGCGGTGCCTGAGTGTCCTTAACCTCTACAAGTTAGTGACATGACAAGTCTTTCAAGTGAGATTGAGAGTTTACAGTTTTCCATTTACTCTGGGCTGAGTAAGAATTTTTAGTTTATTTGGGGTACCATCTGGGTACAGGCGCAAAACAGATAATTATAGCACAGACTATTAAAATCTATGTTGAATCACAAAATGGATAAATGCTGCTTTTGAGGAGGATATTTTATTGAGGGAAATGCTTAATATCCAGCGCTGAAAAGTGATCTCTAGCCCTTGTCAATTTGGTATAAAGAACAACAGCTCTGGCCATTAAATGGGGGGTAAAGTATGTACATTTTTACTCCTGCAACGCTATAGTAGAACTTCATTTATTGTTCCTCCCATCCTCCAAAATGGAGTTGTGTCCCAACTCACATCAGTCCTTTGTTTGTATGAAACCCTTTATAACCGGATACATTTTGTATTTCCATTCTACTCCAATAAAGATTTTGCCACAACTTATATTGAGAATATTTAGTGTACACCTATTCCAAATACTATTTTAATGCTTTGTATTCAAGCCTTGACATTAGTTATAGAACAGAGCTAATAAACAACTGATTACAAATATTTCATGATTAAGATGAAGGAAAATTCTGGTGTAAACTTCAGCTTCCACAAATCTTTTAAGTGACTTTGTGGTAATTTTGCCTGTGCACAAACTGCAGGATTGGACTTTCAGTGTGGCCCTTTAAAGAAATGCCCTCCTTAAGAAGGCAAGATTTATTAGCTTTCACACTGTTGTGCTTTTAGATGGCTGAAAACTCTCCGAGGAATTCTTTTAATATCCCCATCAAATTGAAATGTGAATTACATAATTATAATTAGAGCACCGTACTCTTGATAAAACTCACTTGATTTATGTAAGTGCCGTTTACTTCCTAACTTGTGCCCAGATTAAACCTTTAAAAATAAGCAGGGTTTTAAAAAAGTTGATTTTTTAAAAATGATATTTTAAATGTCTGGTTCATGATTTTTTTGAATGCCTGGGTTTGGCAATACTAGGCTGTTGTTTAAATATGTGAACCATTGTTGGGGGCCCATATCAATGCATAATGACTTAAAACCATGTCACACAGAGAATTGGTTCAAATATTCAATGGCTGAGAGTGAAAGATTTGGGTGCGGGTGAGGTTTGAGGAGGATGTGTTGTGCTGAGAGTCTCACATACCAGCGACTAACAAAGTTATTTGGGCATAAGCTTTTGTAGGCTAGAACCCACTTCATCAGATGCATGGAGTGGAAAATACAGTAAGTAGGTATAAATAAACAGTATAGGAAAAGATGAGAGTTGCATTACCAAGTGAGGGAAGAGGGGGTCAATGCTAACGAGACAATTCAATTAACAGTAGAATACCAAGGGAGGAAAAATCACTTTTGTAGTGGTAATGAGGATGGCCCATTTCAAACAATTGACAAGAAGGTGTGAGTAACAGTAGGGGGAAATTAGTATGGCCTACTACAAGACAGGCCCAACAAAGAAACTAACAGAATGCCACTAGCCGTCACCTACAGCCCCCAACTAAAACCTTTCTAGCGCATCATCAAGGTTCTACAACCTATCCTGAAGGACGATCCCACACTCTCACATATGTTGGGAGACAGGCCAGTCCTCGCTTACAGACAGCCCCCCAATCTGAAGCAAATACTCACTAGCAACTACACAGCATACAACAAAAACACTAACCCAGGAACGAAACAAACCCCAGTGCCAACTCTGTCCGCATATCTATTCAAGGGATACCATCATAGGACCTAACCACATCAGCCACACTATCAGGGGCTCGTTCACCTGCATATCTACCAATGTGATATATGCCATCATGTGCCAGCAATGCCCCTCTGCCATGTACATTGGCCAAACCAGACAGTCTCTATGCAAAAGAATAAATGGACACAAATCTGACATCAGGAATTATAACATTCAAAAACCAGTAGGAGAACACTTCAATCTCCCTGGTCACTCAATAACAGACTTAAAAGTGGCAATTCTTCAACAAAAAAACTTTAAAAACAGACTCCAGTGAGAAACTGAAGAACTGGAATTAATTTGCAAACTGGACACCATTACAAAAACTAATTTCCCCATACTAATTTCCCCCTACTGTTACTCACCCCTTCTTGTCAACTGTTTGAAATGGGTCACCCTCATTACCACTACAAAAGTGATTTTTCCTCCCTTAGTATTCTACTGTTAATTGAATTGTCTCATTAGCACTGACCCCCCACTTGGTAAGGCAACTCCCATCTTTTCCTGTACTGTTTATTTATACCTACTTACTGTATTTTCCACTCATGCATCTGATGAAGTGGGTTCTAGCCCACAAAAGCTTATGCCCAAATAAATTTGTTAGTCTCTAAGGTGCCACAAGGACTCCTTTTTGTTTTTGCTGATACTGACTAAGATGGCTACCACTCTGAAACCTGTTACATACCAGAGTGAGGAATGTGGAATAAGTGCCAGATAGATGGGAAGGGTTGGAGTTTTCCCCAAACATCTGGAAGCACAAAGATAGGGTTTCTATCCTGGGGACCCATCATTTATAAAAACCCAATAAAAGCTCCAGCAAGTTGACATACTTCACTTAGATTTTAGATGTGGCATGTGGATTCCAATTTGTGCTGTCTCCTTTGATTAATCAGGAACAGCTTATGGTCTAAGCTTCAGGCATTACTTAGCTCTTCTTCCTTCCAAAGTGGAGACATGGAATTCCGTGCAGTTTGCTATATACAAGTCTCTTGAATGAGACCTGAAAATTCCCCGTCCTGTGTGTTCATTAAAGTTTCATGGCATTTCTGGCTAAAGTTTTCCCACCTCTTCCCTGTTTGCTAACAGCATGTGCTGATTGGTTGCCAACTTCCATTCAAGAAGTGGCTGCACGTCAGTGGTGTTGAATCTATACAATTTGTAGAGGTTCAGAATGCAAGGTGCTATATAAATGTAAAGTATCACACACCTTGGAGCTTCTGTTTCCTTGTCACTCTGATTTTACTTTAAGCATCATATTATGTAGCTTGAACCTTAAGTGAAACAAAGGTAAAAGAAAGAATCTCACACTGTTTTGCCAAGGAACTGTAGGTAAAAAATTAGTGCAACAGTTAATCTGTAGCTATAACGCATTAAGCACCAAATTGTACTTGTTCATCAATAAGTTCCTTTTCCTATTCTCTCTCCGCCCCTCCGCCCCCCATTTTCCTCTCCTTGTTCTATGTGTGTGGTAAAAGTTACTCGTCACTGAATGCATATATCACAGCTGCTGGCAATAACCACTTGACTAATGGTGAGCAAGGAGTCATACTTTTCCCACAATGTACATATATGGAAAGCTGTTTGTACTGATATAGTACTATGACTCAATAGGGCATATGTCAACTCAAACTGTAGGAGCTGGGAATCTCAAAGAAAGGTTGAAAACAACCCTTCTGCCCAATGCCCTTAAAAGAAAACACATGCTACCGGGTTAGAAATGTCTGCATTCTTCCAACAGGCATGTCCAGAGTTGGGAGTACCAGATGTTTTCATCTGCTTTGATACAGAAGGAATAGGCAAGAATTTTATTTTATTTTTTAGGCACATTCAGTAATATACAGAAGTAACATATTGCAAGCTCTTTTGTATTTGCTACATGTTACAAGATATTGCACAGCCTATTG